AAAATGATTTTTGTGTGTGTGTAAAAATGTCTACTGGTTTAGCATTAACTTACACACTGGTTAAAAATACAATGTAGTACTTGAATAACCATAGTGATTTAGACACATGAATGGTATGTAATTTTTGTGTACCAAAGTGATTTAGACACAAGAATTGTGTACCAAAGTGATTTACACACATGAATTGTGTACCAAAGTGATTTAAACACAAGAATGGGATGTAATTTTTGTGTACCAAAGTGATTTAGACACATGAATGTTATGTAATTTAAGTGTATTTTGAGATAAAAACTAGCACAAATATAAAATGTATTTACAAAACTGTGATTACATAACAGCACCAAAATTCTATAATATAAGCTATTTAAAAAATGTCAAAATAATATGGTGGCAATGGAACTTTATATAAAAATATAGATTATTCTCAACTACTATAACAAAACTACATTTTTGTCCAAGCAAAACTTTTATTGGAAATATCACATGTAGAAATATGTGTGCAGAATTATAAACTATTAGTTAATTAAGGAGACATTAGTTTACCAATGGTCAAATCTCCTCAATCTATTATGAAGAGAAAAATAAAAGTAAGAAACAATAAAATGCTTCGCTGGGGCGCAGCTTGATACGACCGCAGAGGTCGAACCCTGAACAGTTGGGGCAAGTATGGACACAACATTCAAGCTTGATACAGCTCTGAATTTGGATTGTTATTAAATATTTGACACAGCATAGGTTTCTGACACAGAAAGAATGTGGTCTAAGAACTTGAATTTTTTTAATTTACCTATTATGGTCCAATGTCCAAAATCAAAATACATGGTTAGATTCAGCATATCAAAGAACCCCATATATTCAATTTTTGTTAAAATCAAACAAAAGTTTAATTTTGGACCCCAACTTGGACAAACTTGAAAACTGGGCCCATAATCAAAAATCTAAACACATGTTTAGATTCAGCATATCAAAGAACCCCAAGAATTCAATTTTTGCTAAAATCAAACTAAGTTTAATTTTGGACCCTTTGGACCTTAATGTAGACCAATTTAAAAAACAGGACTTAAAATTAAAAATCTAAATACACGGTTAGATTTGGAATATCAAAGAACCCCAATAATTCAATTTTTGATGAAATCAAACAAAGTTTAATTTTGGACCCTTTTGACCTCAATATGAACAAATTTGATAGGGGGGCCCACAAATAAAAATTCTAAATGCATGGTTAGATTCAGCATATCAAAGAAACCCATATATTCAATTTTTGTTGAAATCAAACCAAGTTTAATTTTGGACCCCAATTTGGACCAACTTGAAAACTGGGCCAAAAATCAAAAATCTAAATACATGTTTAGATTCAGCATATCAAAGAACCTCATATATTCAATTTTTGCTAAAATCAAACAAAGTTTAATTTTGGACCCTTTGGACATTAATGTAGACCAATTTGAAAACTGGACGCAAAATTAAAAATCTAAATACACTGTTAGATTCGGCATAACAAATAAATAAATGTGATCAAAGATTTTACAAATCTAATGTGCCATACTGTGCAATTAAAGATTACTTCTTGAAATTTTTCAATATTTGAAATTTGAAAAAAAAATAATATTTGAAGAATAATTCTTTTTAATTTCTGAAATCTGAAATGAGAAAAAATTGGCCCCCCACAATTTCTTTTTATTCCCCCCCCCCCCCCCTTTTTCCCCAAAAAAAATTCTTTCCCTCAAGATATGGTCATAATCTCAATTCAAATTTCCAATGGAGTTGGCAACCATAATTACCCATTTAAATTTACCATAGTGCTAACTTAATCTATTTTATAATAGAATTAATAAAAATATAGTGTCAAATCTTTCATATGGATTTTTTTGTAAAAAAAAAAGATGAAAACATTTGCAGATATTTTTACTGGTCTTCCTTTATAAATATGCATTTCTTTAAACATAATTTAAAAGCAGTGTAAGGGAAGTAACCAAAACGTTGTATTTGGATTACCTCCCTTACACTGTTTTAGATTATCTTTATTGTTTATTAACCATTACTTTATACATAATTTAAAAGCAGTGTAAGGGAGATAATTTCAATGATGTATTTGATTTATCTCCCTTACACTGCTTTAAATTATGTTTTGTACTAAAGTATTTGTCCATTAACCAGGACAACCTTGTTTTTCCCCCTTTTTTGCCCCTAATTCCTAAACGGTTTGAGCCATAACCCCCCAAAGCAAATCCTAACCATCCCTTTGTGGTATGGAAACTTGTAGTATAATTTCAGAGAGATCCATACACCGTTCCACAGTTATTGTCTGGAAACTAGAAAATGCTCATTTTTGGCCCCTTTTTGGCCCCTAATTCCTTAACTGTTGGTACCATAACCCCCAAAATCAATCCCAACCTTCCTTTTGTGGTATTTAACCTTATGGTCAAATTTCAAAAAGATCCATTCACTTAAACTAAAGTTAGAGTGCGAAAACCAATATGTATTCGGACGACGACGACGACGACGCCAACGTCATACCAATATACGACCACAAAATTTTTTTGCGGTCGTATAAAAAATGAGGGAATCACATGAACCCAAAAGGGTCAAGACCAGGTGTTTAACACTATAATAAAAGTTTGTTCCAGAAGATTGTACACCATTGTCTTTAGTTAATGGTTATTAGAATTCAGAAAGGGTAAGAAAGGCATTCTTAGTATATTTTGTTTATCTATTAATTGATTCTATGAAATACACTTTTATAGAATTTGTTCAACTGAGTTGAATACCGAATCATTAGACATAAAAAAAATATAGGTTGAAAAATTACTAAGTTCAACCTTAAAACCAAGGAGATTGTTAAATATTGACACTAGGTTTGCCCCTGGTAGCATTTACATGCACAGAAAAAAATCAGAAAAAAAAATCAACAAAAGTAATATGGTGAAAATTTGTTTCTCCCTCATTGTTTTTATCCATAATTAAATAAATAAATGTGTTTTGCTTGGACACAAATGAATCTGAAGATTTTGTTTCACAACCTACTTATGACTGAGTGATCTCTCCTGATTTAATTTTCATAGTTAAGCAAATCTCTTGCTTAAAATATTACCATGGATACCGCTAAGATAAGCAACTCTCTTTCTCAATATGTTACCATGGATATCCCTAAGATAAGCAACTCTCTTTCTCAATATGTTACCATGAATTCCACTAAACAACTATTTTGCTTGTTATTATAGATCTACTTCATTAAGACCTTTATTTATTAAACAGTTTTCTCTACCTAACAACATGTTAAATATTTCTTTCAAATAATAGATTGGAAATATCCTCCCTAAAAAAATATTTCATTTCTTCAAGCATGTATATTTTTTCCAATAAGTGTGATTTGTGAATTTTGACAGCCATGGGTAATTTTATTTTCCTGTACTCTTAAATTTGCTTCAATACACAATTGCGATCAATTAAATAAACATTCTTTTATGTAGAAAAATTTCAAATGTTTTGAAAAGCCAATTTTTTTTTGTACCTTCATATCATGGTACCAATTAACTAATTAAAAAGTAATTAGAAAATGTAAACAACTATCACTAGTAAAAGTGAATGAATCTCTATTGCACAATCAATTTAACAATAATAAATACATCTTTAATTACAACAACATATACACAATCAATGGGAGATAACTCTGACTATATCTGAAGAATGGGAAATTTCTGATATAAAGGAAGAAAGCTCTCCCATGCTAATGATTTTGATGAGAACAGCCAGCATTAATGTGCTAGCACCGGTCAGTATTGCAATTACATTATCTGTCAAAATAAAAATAGTGCTATCTTTTTTTAATTAAAAGCAAATCAGTTGCAAAAATACTATATAAATATGGCACTGCTCTTTATTGAACAAAGTTCTTAGAAGAAAGCATGAAATGAGAAATGACAAAATTAAAGCTATTAGTTAATGTCTTTTTACAATAAATATGGATTTAATAACAGTAACTAATGATTGAAATATACTAATCATGATTGCTACTAATTGATTACTTATAAATCATACAAAAAATGAGGTACATTGACTTGGAAATACAAATAATTTCGTTGCCTTGGTTAAAACAAACTGTCATTTCAAACCATTCATTAATCATGTTAATTGTGAATCATAAAATATCTTTGCCAATATTTTTTATCTTATATCAGCCTTATCAGTTTTTAATCAAATTTTCTCCACAAAATATTTCATGATCAACATGGTTGGCAATATTATATTCTTGCAAAATGACAGGGATATGAAGTAATGCATATTTTTTTCGGCAGGATTTTAGCAGAGCTATTTTATAAATGATGAAATTTAAATCAATTTGTACATGAAATTATGAGGAGAAAGCTTCCTCAAAAGGTTTGAACTTTTTAACATAAATTAACCAAAACATGTAAAAAAATTACCAAAAAAAAAAGCAAAAATAGTGCTTTTAATTATCAACAAGGTATTTTCATTTAAAGAGCATTTTTACACTGAGAATGAACTACATCTTAATTCAACAATTTCAGAAAATACTTTTCCATACAACATTATCCCTCCACATGTTTTTCAACAACTGAGAATGATCTATCACTTTTCTGCTGTGTATACATGTCCACAACAAAGAATTCAAGAAAATACTGTTCTCATAAAAAACATCATATTGTCTTACAATTTTCTAATAATTTTATACAACCTCATACATTTTGTAATTTATTTCTACATGCTGGGTAGCACAAGCTCTCCTTGTGTTTATCTTCTCCTAAAAGGATGGGACACCACCATCTGAACATATTTTGTTGCACTTCAACTACATTACTGCTATACTTTTCTCCTATTTGGATGGAGCACCACTTGCTTCATCATCACAGATACAATATGGATTTTTCAGGAATACTTCTACAACTAGAAGCTGTGCTAAGCAATGAAATCAATGTCTTCACAAGATCTCACTAGCACTGTATAACTATGATTAAAGCTAGCCTGGCAGTCAATTATGGTAGCCATATTGGCTAAATGTCTTCTCACAAGAAGTCTTACGGGAAATCACAGCATGTTTAATTTAACTACTTGTTGACTAGTATTTAAATGTTTCCGAATATAACTCGGTTCTCTTAGTCAACATATTGGAACTTTTAACTGATTCATTTTCTCGTCTTTAGGATTATAACCCATGTTTTTGCGCTGAAGAAACATATGAATTTCTCTAAATGTCGGTCGAGCACTTTCGCTACGGTTCCAACATTCGCACATTAAGTCATAGATTTCTTTGGGACAATTTGGTGGATGAGGCAGGTAGACCTCTTGTTTATCATTTCTATAGTAATGCCCAGCATTTTCGATCACCATTTCATCTGTAAGAGCGTCATATGGCTGATCCTTGGCAAAAGTCAGAACTTCCCATAGAGTGACTGCAAAGGACCAAACGTCACTCTTGGTTGTAAATTTTCCCTGAAAAATATTCACAAGTTAAGTATAATTCAATGAAAAATAAATTGTAAGAGACATTGATATTCAAATATAATCTCATAAAATTTGTAAAGGATAGATAAGTAATCCTCTACTTTGTATTATCCTTGAAAATATATTATTATAAATTCAAATTCAAATTCTTTATTTTCCTTATCGCAGGTCCCTTGTGGGCATTATAAAATTTGACACCATTATTCACACTTTCATACCAACCTTTCTCACCCTGCTCTCTCTGATTATGTTAATTAGATACATTTCAGCAGAACATACATACAAGTCAACATATTATAAGGTTCCACTACTTAACATATACACACTGTGTAAATTGTAAATAAACTTGAAATTGTTATGCTGTGGCCAAACCGGTTCTTGGGGTGAACACTAAATTTTCAAAAAAATCTGAAGGCCTGTGAGACGACTTAATTTGCTTAAAATTGGTATGGACAAATACTGTTACATGTTCGATATTTGTTCACCTAGATACATGAAATTAACTGAAACTCGAAAATCAATACATTTTCTGAACAAGAGTGCACACGCTGAAATGTCTCGCCTTCTTTACTAATCATCGATATTATGTTGATAGTCCTAAATATAAAGCTTTACTACAACTATCACATACACTTAACATGATCCAAGAAAATGAGGTCAAGGTCATATAAACCAAACAAGAAATACATGTACACCTTACAATCATTCAATACACTAAATATAGTTGACCTATTGTTTATAGTTTCTAAGATACAGACTTAACCAAGAAAACTAAACATTGACCAATGAACCAAGAAAATGAGGTCAAGGTCAGATGAACAATGCCAGGCAGACATGTACTACAGCTTGCAATCCTTCCATACAACAAATATAGTTGACCTATTGCTTATAGTATAAGAAAAACAGACCAAAACACAAAAACTTAACACTGAGCAATGAACCGTGAAAATGAGGTCAAGGTCAAATAAAACCTGCAAGACTGACAGGTACATCATAAAATATTTCCATACACCAAATATAGATGACCTATTGCATATAGTATTAGAAAAAAAGACCAAAACTCAAAAACTTAACTTTGACCACTGAACCATGAAAATGAGGTCAAGGTCAGATGACACCTGCCCGCTAGACATGTACAGCTTACAATCATTCCATACACCAAATATAGTAGACCTATGGCATACAGTATAAGAAAAACAGACTAAAACACAAAAACTTAACTATAACCACTGAACCATGAAAATGAGGTCAAGGTCAGATGACACCTGCCAGTTGGACATGTACACCTTACAGTCCTTCCATACACCGAATATACTAGACCTATTGCTTATAGTATCTGAGATATGGACTTGACCACCAAAACTTAACCTTGTTCATTGATCCATGAAATGAGGTCGAAGTCAAGTGAAAACTGTGTGACGGGCATGAGGACCTTGCAAGGTACGCACAAACCAAATATAGTTGAACTATTGCATATAGTATTAGAAAAAAAGACCAAAACTCAAAAACTTAACTTTGACCACTGAACCATGAAAATGAGGTCAAGGTCAGATGACACCTGCCCGCTAGACATGTACACCTTACAATCATTCCATACACCAAATATAGTAGACCTATGGCATACAGTATAAGAAAAACAGACTAAAACACAAAAACTTAACTATAACCACTGAACCATGAAAATGAGGTCAAGGTCAGATGACACCTGCCAGTTGGACATGTACACCTTACAGTCCTTCCATACACCGAATATACTAGACCTATTGCTTATAGTATCTGAGATATGGACTTGACCACCAAAACTTAACCTTGTTCACTGATCCATGAAATGAGGTCGAGGTCAAGTGAAAACTGTCTGACGGGCATGAGGACCTTGCAAGGTACGCACATACCAAATATAGTTATCCTATTACTTATAATAAGAGAGAATCTAACATTACAAAAAATCTTAACTTTTTTTTCAAGTAGTCACTGAACCATGAAAATGAGGTCAAGGACATTGGACATGTGACTGACAGAAACTTCGTAACATGAGGCATCCATATACAAAGTATGAAGCATCCAGACCTTCCACCTTCTAAAATATAAAGCTTTTAAGAAGTTAGCTAACGCCGCCGCCGCCGCCGCCGGATCACTATCCCTATGTCGAGCTTTCTGCGACAAAAGTCGCAGGCTCGACAAAAATCAACATCAGCTTGCCCTGCATTAGATAAAACAGTATTCGTCTATACCAATTTTAAACAAATTAAGTCGTCTCACAGGCCTCCAGATGTTTTTGAAATTTTAGTGTTCACCCCAAGAACCGGTTTGGCCACAACATAACAATTTCAAGTTTATTTACAATATACACAGTGTGTATATGTTAAGTATGTTTAAATGAACATATGTTCTCATAGTTTAGGACTTTACTCATTATAGGTTGAAAAATACAGACAAAGTTTAGATGTTTATGAAGTGTCCTATATTTTGACTTTAGTGGAACCTTAAACACAGTCCAGTTCATGAATGAAGAGAGATAACTCTGATTGTTATAATTTACATTTTCTTTTTTAATCAAGTGTATAATCATTATAAATCAGTATAATTATGCTGTTTTCTCTCAGCAAAATTAATATATCCAACATAACAAAAAATGTGTAATGACAAAATAAAGAAGGAAGTTTAATTATCATAATGTTAATATCAAAGAAGTTTTAAAATTATCATAATGTTAATATAAAGGAAGTTTTTAAATTATTACAATGTTAATATCAAGAAGTTTTATTATTACAATGTAAATATCAAAGAATGTTTTTAATGATTACAATGTTAATATCAAAGAATATATGTAAAGTAAATTAATATTGTAAAATTTATCAGTTTAATAAACTTGTTACTTTTGTAATATTTCAAGATCAGATTTGACTTTTAGAGGACTTGAAAATTAGCAAGCAATTATATAATTGTTATTACAAAGAACAATGCCCATACAGAAAGAGTTGATTGTAATAATGAGTGTGACAAAAATGTTTTTAGCTAAATTTTGAAACATTCTCATAGACAATTCAAATTATGAAATGAATGCAACTACAGAGCTGGCTATTTAGGCCTGATCTAGTTCAATACTTACCAGTACAATACTTTCCCAGGCCATCCATCGAATAGGTAACCTACAGAGCTGACTATTTAGGCCTGATCTAGTTCAATACTTACCAGTACAATACTTTCCCAGGCCATCCATCGAATAGGTAACCTACAGAGCTGACTATTTAGGCCTGATCTAGTTCAATACTTACCAGTAGAATACTTTCCCAGGCCATCCATAGAATAGGTAACCTACAAAGCTGATTATTTAGGCCTGATCTAGTTCAATACTTACCAGTAGTATACTTTCCCAAGCCATCCATCGAATAGGTTACCTACAGAGCTGACTATTTAGGCCTTATCTAGTTCAATACTTACCAGTAGTATACTTTCCCAAGCCATCCATCGAATAGGTAACACAGCTCGTCCTTCTATCCTATAATAATCAGCACTATACAGACTCCTACTCATTCCAAAATCCGATATTTTTATGGTATAGTTTGTGCCCACTAAACAATTACGTGTAGCCAAGTCTCTATGTACCATATTTAATGATTCTAAATATTTCATTCCAGATGCAATCTGTGACGCCATGTATATCAAACAGCCGTAACTCAATGTCTTTGCGTTTGTTGCCAGGGCAACAGGACTTTCGGGTACATGATCCAGAAGGAACTGATTAAGATCTCCATATTTCATGTATTCCACGATCATACAAAGCGGTTCCTCCCGAGTACAAACTCCCAGAACACGGACAATATTTGGATCCTTTAGCTGAGACATTATCTTTATTTCTTTATGAAAATCGGCTCTGAAATGGAAAAAATGTTACATACAGCTACCAATTGATTGGGTAAAACTAGATAAAAAACTGTGGAGTAGTAATTTTTATGTAAATTATATTTTAAATCAATTAGAATAGTGGTTATAATTTCTTGCTTATCTCATCCTAAAACTTGTTTCCATATTTTTACCAAAAAGTTTTCAATATTTCAAAAATATTCTTCTATCAGAATATGAATATGTTTATTTCAAACAGTCATTGATTATTTCAAACTGTTTATGAGGAAGGTAGGCTATAGTGACCTCTAAATGTCTTCTAGTGCTACACTTGTATTGTTAGGTTGCAGTCTTGTTGATGATTTCTCCACTAATCGTTATACTTAATAGTTTTTATTGTTATTTGTTCGTAGCTGTTTCTCATTACACTATCTTCTAGTATCATCAATGAAGCACTTACCTCGCCCTGTCATCTGCATTTCTCCGTAACATTTTCACAGCCACTAAAACAGGTCTATTACTATTTCTGTTTATGAAGTAGTCGTCATTAATGAATTCACTAACATTTAAAGCCTCACATAAATGTACCTGAAAAAAGAATATAAAACAGTAAAATACAAACAAAATAAACATTATAGGTCTGTAGGGGTGATCCAATCAGATATACAACAGTGGATCATTAAATGTCATATGAAGAAAACAGAATAAAAACAAAATAAACATTATAGGCCTGTATGGGTCATCAAATCAGATATACAACTCAACAGTGGATCATTAAATGTCATATGAAGAAAAGAAAATAAAAACAAAATTTTCCACTGGTAGTGTCTTGAACTGAATATTCATAACTAAATGATCTTAAATGAAGTTAAAGCAATGTTTCAAAGGTTATCTGCTGAATAATGTTGTCTGTATAACTTATGTTTGTGAAACGACACTTTCTAGTAATCAAAAACAGATTTACTTTAAGTTCATCTTCGTTGTATTTTTTTTGTCTGCTAGCAAACACTTTTAACAAGTTTCCAGTGTCATTTAAAAATTCACGATGTACATTTAATTTTCTGAAAAGTATTTTGCTAGTATTAAACCTTTACCTCTCCGAATTGTCCTTCTCCCAAAACTTCGATAAACTGTAGATTGTCTCTAGGAAACTGAGTCACTGAGTGCTCCAATGTTAGGAGGATTTCTGCATTAGGAACAGCATAAACATTATTACCACTGACACCTTGCAAGCTGGGAATGTTGGGTACTTGAACATTAATAACATCAGCGGCAGCATACAGGGCATCGTAAGTCGGTGGTTTGTCAAGGGAGTTAATCAGTATTGGTTGTCCTTGTGTTGGGTTTGGTGTTCCTCTCAATGGTGGCTGTGGTGGCTGAGGAGGTAGTGCCACCACCAATGCTGACTTGGTAACATCAGGAATGGCATAATCTCTTGAAACTGTTATAAAAAAACATCCACTTGTTATTATGAAATACTAAAACAAAGAAACTATAACTGAGACGATTTTTTTTTTTTTAATTTCCATCTGTCCATCCTTAGAATGCACTTGACACTTAAAACTTTTGTGTGTAAATTTTATGCAGCAGACATGTTGTTTTTCTATCAAATAAATCAATCATTATATTTTAACAGAAATTGTAACATCACATTCTTATAGCTAAAAATCATAGTTGATTGGGATGCTAAATATGTGACATCATTTTATTTTCAAACTTTCCTTATAGTTTATTTTTGCAGCTCTAAATATTGAAATGTTTTTGTTTAAAAAGATTTTAACGATGGCTCACTGTGTAGTTTTAAGTGTTTAACAAAACTTGTTAGTGTTTTTTCATTATTATTGAAGAGTTAAATCTGCTGAAGCTCTTTTCTAATAATGCTAATTGAATTTTATAAATGTATACAAATTTGACCATAATATTCCATTAATTGTGACATTCAATTCTTGGTAGCTCAGTTTTTAAAATTAATTCATGCTTGGCTAACCTTCAGAGATGAACAACTGCTAAGCTCATAAAGTAATGGTTAGATCATATTTTAAATCTGAACCTTTCTTTGCCATCAAAAAGAAAAACTTTGCAGAACAGAAAAAAAATTATTTATTCAAAACTTGATGGTCAAGTGTAAGATCTAGCTCAAATTAGAGATAAAATTGGCCTGAGTGACCTCTAATGTCACAAGATTTGACTTACATGATTTATCACCATTACAAATGTGTGCATCACATTCCACATCGTCAGTCGCCACACTGTTATAAACGTTACCATTTAAAACCTTCCCATTCCTAGTGCCGTGTAAATCGTTCATGTTGATCGGTATGTTTCTATCGACAGCTGGTTTCAGACTGTGCCTATTGTTATTCTGTTTGCTCCGTCTTTGCCGCCAGAAAATAAAACAAACTATGGCGACTAACAGAGCAATCAGTGCTGCTAAGGTTCCAACTATTATAGCAATAATATTATCATCTGGGGCCGCTTCTTTCGATGGTGGGATATCCTCCATTGGTTGACCTAAAAAACAAAATCACTACTGTACGACACAACAATTCGGTTTATTTTCATGATACAATCTATCCTTTCTTCCATACCTTATTGCAAATTTGTCCAAAATTAAAAAAAAAAAAAACATAAAAAATTCCCATTCAGCTTTCACGTTAACACATAGATAGGAAATTTCTTAATTCAAAACCTTAAGTGATTTTTCCCAAATCTCATCAGCTCAATCTTGAGATCATTTTATGATACACCAACATGTGTTATTTGTATTTTGTGAACATATGTATTGTAAATATTGTGAACATGTGTTATTTGTATATTATGACCATACATGTGTTTATGTATATTGTGAACATGTTTTATTTTTATATTGTGAAAGTGTTTAGTTTGTATATTGTGAACATTTGTAAAACAAGTGTTATTTATAAATTGTGAATATATGTTATTTTTATATTGTGAAAGTGTATTGTTTGCATATTGTGAACATTTGTAATTTATATATTGTGAACATATGTAATTCATAATTTGAGAACATGTGTAAATCATAATTTGAGAACATGTGTTATTTGTATATTTCTGTTAAGACTGTATTTGAATTAGATTTATTCAAACTAGTATTTGTCATATTTTTAATTAAAATTGACTGCTTCAGTTCTCAAATATAAATTAAAGGAGATGTTTTTGTCAATGGTTGCTATAAAAATTTGAATCCTTGCACTTTTGTTTTCCTTTAATCTAAAATCCATATGGTTTCCCTTATACTGACAAGACAACATATGTACCAAAACATATTGTACATTCTTCAACTTCTATTAAGCAGATATCCAGTTCTGTCATACAATCAAAGAAAACATATAGAATTTTAAGTCTTTTAAGAAAATAATCTCAATTCTCATCAGGCTTTATCTCGATTTTCAATTTGAATAATAATTTTTAAATATAGTTATACATACTTGGCTTATCGTAACTTATAGGAACATCAAAGAAATCTTGTTTTGGTATCGCAGGTGGTAGAGTTGAGGGCCCTTTGGTTGTAGGTGGCGCCACTTCTACAGTATAATTATCAGCTGGCTCTGTAATAAAGATAAGGTACTGTAGTCACATGGTCACAAATAAAGTGACTTTTTAGGTCATTACACTGATTTGAGGCCAGAGCCAAGTTGTGTAGTGGGTTTTCTTCCTAATAACTGTAGGGTCAATATGCTGGGATTTTTAATTCAGACACAATACAGAAAATACGTTGTTTTTGCCAAGTCAATGATCAAGATCTTATACATAACTTCATAACATCAGGGTTGGAGTTCAAAATTACGGTTAGACAAGGAAAGCCCTAACTACACACACCTTATTTGGCAATATCAACATGATTAATGTTGTCTAACACTGCAATAAATGGACAGTTTACTTTTTTTAATGGTTACAGACAGGAATTTTGAAATTAGAGATTAAAAGTGAATGTGTTACAAACCTCATTATGTCAAACTATGTAAAAAACATATCAGTTGTTGACCAAGTTATTGAACATGAAAATGGTGCTCACCTCAATATACATGTATTAAATAAGGGGATTAAATGTGAGTATAGCTGTACAAATATGAATTCTAATCAACATGGAACTCAACACTTTTGTCTCTTTTAAATATAATTAACATTGTTTCAAGCATATTATAATTGTTTTTCCTTAATCATAGCTTAATTAGACTTACTTGAGCTGAAGTCAACTTCGCTGATCATAATCCACTTATCATCGAAGTATAGATAAACTTTAACGTAACGTCCAATATTATTTGACAGGGAGACATTAACATCTCTGGCATACTCCACCCATTTGTCCTGGTATTCAGTATGAATCAGAGGTTTTTTCTGGTAAAACTTCCCGCCAACACTAAAATAAATCACAGCTTTGCTAAACACTCGCACATCTTTACTGAAGTGGTTGTTTGTGTGTATCGTCATGAAAGAAAAGTTCCGAACTTGCTCAAATTTGAAGATGATTTCCACAGGTTTATTTCTGACCATTGAGTCATTCTTCCATCCGACCCAGTCATACCCTTTTATACCAAAGTTGTGTTTGTCTGATCGGAAATTATCTCCCCCTGTTTCTCCATCTATTAACTGTCCCATGCCATTCGATAAATGGTTCTCATAGAATATACCATCATATGTAAAGTCAAAAAGATCCACTTCAGCACCACGTCTATCTCCTTGTGGCATTGAATATGCAACTACACCAGCTGAAATAGCAATATTAAAATCCTATAGAATATCATCGTTAGTAATGTTTAACTTTCTTTACATTCATTAAATTTCATGCTTGCAGTTTAATACGAGATAGTGTGTTTTCTCTGTATTTCAGTGTTTGTATTGTACCATAAAACTGCTTAGAGCACTTAGTCATTTTGTAAATGACAGAAAAGAGTTTCATATCCTTTTGTCGTGTGTAATGAACTGAAGTGAAAAAATGAAATTAAAATGTAGATATTGAACTAGAGCTTTCTCCAATTTTTGACATTTTTACCTATTATGTCGGCTAGTTTCGCTCAAACACTGTTGTCAATATAATGGAATCATATGTGACTGCCATACAAGTGAGAGGTTTAGCAAGTTTTAAAACCAGGTGTAATCCACATCCACCATTTTCCACATAAGGAAATGCCTGTACCAAGTCAGGAATATGACAGTTATTTTCAATCTTTTTTCATATGCTTGAGCTTTTGATTTTACAATTTTATAAGGGACTTTCTGTTTTAAAATTTTCCTTGGAGTTTGGTATTTTTGTCATTTAAAAGAAGTCCTAAAACTGTATGAAACATCTAGCTTTTGACAGTTGTCCAAGTGAATATAAACAAAATTAAAATCAGATAAAAACATTTTAATCTCATACTAAAATTAAATGGTGTATTTATTCAACCACTAGCTAAAACAAATAACTTCACAGAATTTATAACTTTTGAATTTGTATACAATATTGTAAAACTTACAGAGCCATTTACAGCCATACAATTCTACCCTCATACAAACAGTCCGTCTCTTCTGACTGAATGGAATAAACCGAATACGTTTACAGACTATGGGAGGATCTACCTCGCACATTTCTGTTAAATATGTGTTGGTATTTCCTTTAAAATGCTGCAAAAGAAAATGATGATCATTATTTTCATTGTCTTTTAAATATACAAATAATTTGCATAAAGATTGTGAGTTAGAATTTTACCACTTGTTGAGTGGTAAATTGGAGTTACCTCCCCTAGAACACAACTGAGAAAACTCACCTCTATATTTAAAATCAATGTATACAATGCAATAACTGTGATCAAAATAATTTAAATTCTAGAACCACTGAGATTTCATTGTCATGGACTGCCATTTTGATGTTAATCTCCTTACAACAATGGAGATTTTTCATTAAATGAAATAGCAATGACAAGTCAAGGACGTAATACAAAACATTTCCCTGGTAACAGGAGAAATCATTATTTAATATATCATAATTAGATTTGGAGTTTTTTCATTAGTTTTTTCATTTAAGCAAATTTACACATGAAAGTATTTTTTTACAATTTTATGGGATAAAGATGAAATCAATAAATGAGATATTACATTTTATTCATATAATAAATCTTGACGTCTTTATTAAAAAAAAAAACATACTATTAATGTCTTTTTGATTTCTGTGTTGTTGGGTTGCTGTTTCTGTGGAGTATATACCCCACATCTTTTTTGATGTGTAGCTTTGTTCTTCGGTACCAAATGTATAAAATGACAATGATAAACACTACATTCTCATTCATCTTTTGTTTATATAATAAATGGTCTATTGTTATCTTATTGATGAAATGGTAATTTGATCTTTCTGTTTGATAATTTTCAATCTCATACTTTTCAGTTGAGACTGGTTTTTCCAGCAGTAAGAATTCAATGAGGTCATAAGCCAAGGTCATTGACATTGCCTAGAAAATAGCAATACACATCATTGACGTTGCCTAGAAAAATAGCAATGTCTTTCAGCTCGAGGAAATTTCATGGCAACATCTCATCTCAGGCCTATCTGAGAGAAACTCTCTCTTGTTCTCAGTTCCATAGATAATCTTGTATTAACTTTACAATATAAACTTGTACCTCAATCCCTTTCCTGTTTTTAAATCTAACCCATTCACCATCATCTTCACGCTGATATTCCAGTAAAAAATATTCTGTAAATTCCTGACCCTGTAAAAAAAAAAATATTCGCTATCATGGTTAAATGTACTTGTGACCTTAACCTTGGCAATGACCCACCCCTAAGATGTTTTTTTTTTATTTTTTGTGGTTTTGTGCTTGATGTCTTATTGATGTATGAAACACATTTCCTTTTATTTATATTGATATCAGTGTTTGACATCAACATGGTAACGTTTTAAATTTGAATTATTACAAACATCTTAATTCCTTTTTTTAAATTCTTTTAATCATTCTTATTAACTTTTTTCTTCTTTTATAAAATCGAATTCTTAAAGAGTAATTTGACATGCTATTTCCTCATAAACCTCCCATTGTTTGCTAATAAAATGTTTTGTTTTTTTATTAATAACTTCTAGTTATATGATTAATATTTATATTTAGTGTTATCTTATTTGTTTCCCTTTTTTCTGTCACAAACCTAAATGAAGTATTACATGACAGTTATATATTGAATGGAATAAACTCTCAAAATTTTCATCTTTTACTTTATTAAGTTTTATACCTGTCCATTGCCAAAGCGTCCTTGAACTTCGACCTTTGTAATGACTGTTAACTCGCCAAGATCAACCTGTAAATACTCATAAGATTCCTTAGTGATCATCTGTTTAGGACACCAGGCTCCTCCATACAGCTCCTGTCTTATTCTGTAAATAAACAAGACTGTTACTCTAAAGTTACTCAATACTACTCTACCTTACTATGCATTATTCAGGTAACCAGTAATACAATGTCTCAAATTCATAGATTTTCTACATCAAAATGATCAATTTTAGTGGACTTCACCTCCACATCACAATTTTTTTCCATCTATATTAAAGTTGGATATTTCATAGATTTAATTTCCTAATGATTTAACTGTGCATTTATTTGAATAAAGTATAAAAGAAATCTCAGCAGACACACTTATTTAACCTAGATGCACTGTGAACAAATCTCAGCAGACACACTTATTAAACCTAGATGCACTGTGAACAAATCTCAGCAGACACACTTATTTAACCTAGATGCACTGTGAACAAATCACAGCAGACACTTATTTAACCTAGATGCATGGTGAACAAATCTCACAAATTTTATATCCCCAACCCTTGTACATAAAGTATTGACCTTGACCTTGCAGACACATTCCAACCTTATTTGGAACATAGTTACAGAGAAGGGCAACAAATATATACTTCAAAGCAATCTAGGGATGGGTTGACTTTGAGGATGGAAGTGGTATACAAATTCTTTGACCATGGAATCGAAATTTATGTTGAAAAATCGTGTTAATGAATTCTTTGCATCATAGTTAAATGTAGTAGAAATAGTTACACTGATTTAAAATAAATCCAACCAGAACCATAATAGTCTGGTATCAGATTCTGGTTCCCATATCTATAGACAACATGTAGTAATTACAATGTGTTCTGTCTAGTCATAAAGACTACAAACCATTATGGCCCATGTCATGTAGAGCATGTATTTTTTTATCAGGAAATTCTATTTTTTTAATACTGTAGATGGGTTGTTATTCTTGGATTATTTCATTAATTTAGCATAAAGAGGAAAACAAGAATCTTAACTATTTTACATGTTGCTTTCTTCATGGTGTCTTTTTTTGTTGTTGGTTTTTTTTACATAAGCGTTTAAGAAATTATTTAAAACATTGCTTAAATATTGATGCCATTGAATACAAAACACTATTATATTTTACTTGTGAATGTCTAAATTTAATCCAACAAAATAAAACAAATTTTCCATGTGGTAATAAACCAAATATCAAATTCAAATGGATTTGATGTACGTAAAAAATTTAATTTATTGAAAAACAAGAAATGAATGTAACAGGATGCTGTTACGAAGTCTCCCAAACGAAGCTCCCATAATTCGTAATTCCCAGGGTCGCCTGACATTGGGCAACATCCATTGAAAATTGGTTTGGTCCAGTAAAGTTATATGCATTAGTGATGCCTGGGGACTAACCTTGTATATCATTCAAATCATCTTGGCATGACAAACCAGAATATATATGGTTTAGGGGTGGGGATCTCGACCATTTACAAGATACTAGAATATTGGGGGTGGGGAGGAACCCCTGGGGACTGGCCCTATACGTCATTCAAATGTTCATTTACAAGATATTAGAACTTTCTCAAATGACAGGGGGTCGGGATGACCCCTGGGGACTAACCCTGTCTATCATTCAAACCATCTTCGCATGACAAACCAGAATATATATGGTTTAGGGGTGGGGATCTTGACCACTTAGAAGATATTAGAACTTTCTTAAATGGCAGGGGGTGGGGTGACCCCTGGAGACTAACCCTGTATTTCATTTGATGTGCTTTATCATGACAAACCAGAATATATATGGTTTAGGGGTGGGGATCTCGACCATTTACAAGATATTAGAACTTTCTCAAATGGCAGGGGGTCGGGATGACCCCTGGGGACTTACCCTGTATATCATTCAAACCATCTCAGCATGACAAACCAGAATATATATGGTTTAGGGGTGGGGATCTTGACCACTTAGAAGATATTAGAACTTTCTTAAATGGCAAGGGGTGGGGGTGACCCCTGGGGACTACCCCTGTATTTCATTTGATGTGCTTTATCATGACAAACCAGAATATATATGGTTTAGGGGTGGGGATCTCGACCATTTACAAGATATTAGAACTTTCTCAAATGGTAAGGGGTGGGGGTGACCGCTGGGGACTAACCCTGTATAACATTTGATGTGCTTTATCATGACAAACCAGAATATATATGGTTTAGGGGTGGGGATCTCGACCTTTTACAAGATATTAGAACTTTCTCAAATGGCAGGGGGTCGGGATGACCCCTGGGGACTTACCCTGTATATCATTCAAACCATCTCAGCATGACAAACCAGAATATATATGGTTTAGGGGTGGGGATCTTGACCACTTAGAAGATATTAGAACTTTCTTAAATGGCAAGGGGTGGGGGTGACCCCTGGGGACTACCCCTGTATTTCATTTGATATGCTTTATCATGACAAACCAGAATATATATGGTTTAGGGGTGGGGATCTCGACCATTTACAAGATATTAGAACTTTCTCAAATGGCAAGGGGTGGGGGTGACCGCTGGGGACTAACCCTGTATAACATTTGATGTGCTTTATCATGACAAACCAGAATATATATGGTTTAGGGGTGGGGATCTCGACCATTTACAAGATATTAGAACTTTCTAAAATGGCAGGGGGTCGGGATGACCCCTGGGGACTAACCCTGTATATCATTCAAACCATCTTAGCATGACAAACCAGAATATATATGGTTTAGGGGTGGGGATCTTGACAACTTAGAAGATATTAGAACTTTCTTAAATGGCAGGGGGTGGGGGTGACCCCTGGGGACTAACCCTGTATAACATTTGATGTGCTTTATCATGACAAACCAGAATATATATGGTTTAGGGGTGGGGATCTCGACCATTTACAAGATATTAGAACTTTCTAAAATGGCAGGGGGTCGGGATGACCCCTGGGGACTAACCCTGTATATCATTCAAACCATCTTAGCATGACAAACCAGAATATATATGGTTTAGGGGTGGGGATCTTGACAACTTAGAAGATATTAGAACTTTCTTAAATGGCAGGGGGTGGGGTGACCCCTGGGGACTAACCCTGTATAACATTTGATGTGCTTTATCATGACAAACCAGAATATATATGGTTTAGGGGTGGGGATCTCGACCATTTACAAGATATTAGAACTTTCTCAAATGACAGGGGGTGGGGATGACCCCTGGGGACTAACCCTGTATATCATTCAAACCATCTTAGCATGACAAACCAGAATATATATGGTTTAGGGGTGGGGATCTTGACCACTTACAAGGTATTAGAACTTTCTTAAATGGCAGGGGTGGGGGTGACCCCTGGGGACTAACCCTGTATTTCATTTAATGGGCTTTATCATTTAGAACATTTTCAATTAAAAAGTTTGTGTCTATCACGAACGGTTTTCAATTTATAATCATTTGAAAATTTTAAAAAATAAAATCCCATAGGGTTCTATAGTAAAACCCTCTTTTCTTTTTGCCCCTCAAAGTACCCCTTTATAAACCCCATTGCAAAAACAAAACCCTGATTGCACCACTAGACATGTTAGTCTAACATATTGTGAAACCCTAAGTTAATCCGACAAGCGGTTTTGGAGAACGGGTGCGGACAAGTTCAAATTTAAAAGCGGCGGAAGAAGAAGAAGAAGAAGAAGAAGAAGAAGAAGAAGAAGAATAATAATAATAATAAGAACTGAGCAAAAACAATAAGTCTTCCCAAACTTCGTTTGGGAGACTTAATTATCAAATAAAAATACAAATTAAGATATCGTCTGAATAATGACTACTGTTCTTGTTTCATAGATTAGAAGCTTAGCCCACTTTTTATGTCTTCATCTTTTTAATTTACTTTAAAACTCTGCACTATTTTTACTGCAAACTTCAAGAGTTTGAATAAAACAAATTCAACTATTCAACTTTCCTACAAAGAAAAATCTGTTTTCTTGTTAAAACATCAGTTTTACAAACATTCCACATAAAACATTCAACTTCACCTTTTTTTAAGGTACCAGAACATAGCATTATACTGACAAACAGCTATTTCCTGAAGTTTATTTTTAGAATTATGGCTTTCTTGATACAAATTGTCAGAACCTAATTACTTTATCTTGCTAAAGTTTTTGTCTGTTAAGTATTCTGGTAAAAGATGTGCAGAGAATTGCAAAAAATCTTGTTTTTTGGTGTTGCAATCGTTCAGTATCTAAGAACTCAATGACAGTTCCCTAAACAAACGAGAAGTTAACTTTGGCTGAGATGTTTTTCTTTCGATCATGTTTTTCTTCTAAAATCATGGGTGTATATTTTCTTTGTAACTTTTTCATCGATGCTGTGTGTTGAACTTAGAAGGTTTCTATGAAAATGAAACAAAACACATTTTTACTGACTGTAAAGTGTTCATTCTAAGTTACCCATGATCAAAACTAATTTTATTTTGTTGAGAATTAAACAAACTCCAATAGGATAGATACAGTATATATGACATTATGTTCTATATAGCCTAATAAAATAGTAAACAGCTATTAAATTGGACAATTACCTCCATCATTTGACAATCAAAACAGAGCCATGTGTTACATGTGGTGTAATCATGGCATCAACATGTGTAGTATAAATCTTTCCAGTTTTTTATTCACTGATCAAGTTTTTGATTTTTTATATGGGACAATGTAGTTGTTAATAGAACCGTGCAGTAATGGAGTCTTGCTATAGTTTACATTCGAATATTGAGCAGGTGGTAAATAAATTATCATGGAACAGATTTCCTGGTTGTTTTTTTTCTTTCTATAGCTGAACATATGTATAGAAATACAGAACACTTGATTCATTCATTCATATTTCATAAATCGGGGCTCACATGTTATTATATTCTGATAGAAAACAAACCCATCCTCCATCATTATAAGATTGTCAGATTTTGAAGAACTTTCTTATTTCATTTATTTGTTTTAAAGTCTTGAATCTGCATGACATATTTGCCACTGAACAGTAAACAATAATCAATTTATCGATCAAACAAATGGCTTTCTTACTTTTCTGTATATTTTCCTTCTTTTTAATGTTATTCTTGAAATGATAAATTTTATATTTTGTACTGCCTTTATAAACACCATTCTATAGTTAAGTAATGGAATTCAAACTTTGATATTATTGTTTATGTTTGCCATAGAAACGATTTCCTGAATGAGTTGTTTTTATCTCATAACCACTTCTATCTTGGAATGTTTCCTAGACAGTAGGCATAATAATGATTAAGTAATACATATGAATAAACAAGCAGCCATTTTCATTTTCGTCCCATATTTTGTGTAAAACGTTAAGTCTTGCCTCAAGACAACAATATACTGACTCCAGGAATACATCATCCCACATTTCCTATACAAATTTATTCGTTGCCTCAAAAAAACAATGTACTAACTCTTAGAATATAATCTACTTCTCAAACCCCAACCCAAAGATTAAAATGCAATTTACTGCAATCATTCTTGCATTGGTATTAACACTTTTACTCTCAGGGAATAAAATATAATTCTATATCCGCAATTTTATCTCCAACCTGGAGCTTCAGATGCAGTTTTCAGTAATTAAACTCTGAAAACCAGGAACTGTTCTGAGTGAATTTAAAGTACATTATGGAAATTACTTGGAAAATTCTCTGCAAGATGATAATGTCTAAATGTCAACATTTCTAATAGAGATTACAATATTTATCTACACACAAGCACTTGTTGCCCTTTAATTCCCTCACTGAAATTTTAAGGTTTTAATCTGTGGCACCAAATATTACCCAGAATGCATTAGACTCTGCGAATGGCCAATTGGTGTGCAGTATAAATGAATAACTTTATGTAATGGTTCAGGAGTTATAATACAAGACTATTAATCCCTCACTAGTTGGTATGTCATATGATCCTATGTCAGAAGTCAGAAAGTCAATACAGAGTTCGCTGCCCCTTGACATTTCCTAGGAACTTGTATTTATTGTGATGACTTGTATATCAATTAATTGATGACAAATTTTTGTTTAGCCATAGAATTTTATCAGGTACATCTCTTAGATCTCCAATCGAATGTCACATGATTTTCAATATTAACCGATTCCAAGTGAGGAAACAGTGCTGAAAATCGATGATAATTCTCTAACACAGACAAGTATGGAATAGAATTAGAATTGATTTACTATCAAATTAAAATCAATTAATACACTTTGTTACAAAAAAAAAAAGATTGAAAGATTTTTTAAATTTTTTTATGTATAAAGTTTGACCATTTATATTTAGAGGCCTAAACAAATTTTCTCCCTAATATAATTTTTCAGTATTTTTATAATAAACAAGAATTCCCTTAAAAATAAGTGATAAGATGTACAAATAAATGTACTTTGAGTACGAGAGAAACTTGACGTCTTGGAATTTCCAAGGAACAAATTCATACGAGTTTGCATGAATGGAGTAGGTACATGTATAAGGCAACTTTTTGTCTAGTTAAATTCTGAAATCAAATGTATAATACATGTATAATCAATCAAAATAATGTCCACTTGAATAGTGAGTTGTATTTATATTTTATCAAATTTTTTTTCTACATTTCAGCATATTGGGGCTTCAAACTTTTTGCTTTTATGTAAAACTGCCAAAAAAGCCTTATTTTCTTGGCCAAGTCCTCAATATTTAGATATGAACTATAGATAAATATATATTGAAGAAAATGTGTAATGTGGGTATGATATCGTTTTTGCAAGGCTTTGGCTTATACTAATATTTTAGCATGTTTATGATGTCACAGTGACATCACAACTAAAATTTCTGTTCTTCAGTGCAAAGGTTATATCATTCTTATCATTATTTGTTAAAAAAAAAAATGATTTTAAGAAAGGACTGAAGAAATATTCTATTTTTGAAAGTTCAGGGGCTATTATATATTGGTTTTTATTGTGCCTCCTCCCAAGACAAGTATATTTTGATACAATGTTGCATTAGAATGGCCAAACTAATGCATAAAACAAGTATCTTTACACTAAAATAGCCATAACACTGTATAAACTAAGTACCCCTCTTACAAAAACAGCTCAAACTTGTAATACTATTCATACGTGCAGACATAAAACTCTTTTTACTAATAGCTATTACCTCTAAAACAGAAACATCAAAGCTAGTCATTTCCCAAAAGTTCTCTATGTTATATTTAAAAACATACAGAATAATTACATAACTAAACTGTATAAATTACTGATCTTATTCCCACAAAGAAAATAAATCATTTTTCATCTTAAAAAATTTCTAATGATTTACTAGAAACTGACAAAAGATAATAAAGTAATGGATTTTGAAAAAAATCATCTCCTGAAAAAAGCATCTTGATATATCATGGATAGACACTTTGCTTAAGGGAAGTTAGGAAACTGACAAGTCGTGCTTTTTTTTGTTTTTATCAAAAATGAATAATTTCAAGTGCATTACAAGTTGAGCTAATCTGGAGAAAATTTATATTTGTAAAAAGTAAAAAATGTCTCAATAAAAAAATGATCATTCAAAGTAAGACAGCGGAAACCATGTTAAAAGAAAAGGACAAACAAGTGTGGGAGGTCGCGAACCCCAGTCTGGTCAAACCAAAGACTTTAAAATTGGTATTTGCTACTTCATCGCTAAGTACGTGGCATTAAGTAGTAAGAGCAAAGACTGGTCAACTCGGGAGTCAGGATAATGTGTCCGGGTAAGGTGATACGTTTTCCTGCCGACTGTTACCTTGTGAACTAGCTTGATAAAATCAGGCTCAGCATGTCGGTCTAGTACAAAGCAGGGTTAATATTCATATTACATTAACATGTTCTCAACCTGAATATGTATATTAAATTGGAGCTGGATGTTAAGCAGCCATCCATCATCACCTTCATCACAAAACATTAAACATGAGCCCACTGAAAGTCAACAACACATTACACATGAGTCCACAAAACATTACACATGAGTCCACAAAACTTACACAATAGTCCATGAAATCCATAAAACATTACACAACTGTCAATAAAGTCCACAAAACATCACACAGCTGTCAATAAAGTCCACAAAACATCACACAACTGTCAATAAAGTCCACAAAACATCACACACCTGTCAATAAAGTCCACAAAACATTACACAACTGTCAATAAAGTCCACAAAACATCACACAGCTGTCAATAAAGTCCACAAAACATTACACAACTGTCAATAAAGTACACAAAACATCACACAACTGTCAATAAATCCACAACACATCACACAACTGTCAATAAAGTCCACAAAACATTACACAACTTTCAATAAAGTCCACAAAACATCACACAACTGTCAATTAAGTCCACAATACATTACACAACGTGTCAATAAAGTCCACAAAACATCACACATTAATTAAAATATTGAGCAACACTTAACACCACCAAAATAATGGAGCTCAATTTTTAATTGTTCTAATATTCTTTTCGAGCTTTTTTATCTGTTTGTTTTTATAGACCCACATACATGTCTAGATAGGTAAAGCATGGGGTTTGTGCACATATTAAACTGGTTAAAAAACAAACACATCAAGATAGGCTACTTCAGAGAAGACCAGTGTTGGTGGCCGGTGTCTTCTCTTGAACAGTCTGACTTTTTATTAATGATTTATAATTGACTTACCTAGCACTTTTTGGACCAACTGACTGATCTTCATAGGAAGAACTGGCCGTTATGGCAGAATCTGGTAGCTTGAAATTCTCCATACCCAGGGATTTTTCACATAAAGCTGAAATAAAGGAAATATAAATCATTAAACAAGCCATATAGAATAAAATCATATTTAGTTTTAGGGTTCATATACAAAAGACAATGTTCTTCATCCTGTGAATTCATACTGGTCTGAAAAAGTGAGTGAAACATTATTAGTGAGGAGCAAGAGCAGAGGAATATTATATCAATTTGGTTCTGGTCCATCTAATTTTTCTATATGATTTTAATGGCATTGACATAAGATAATCATACTACTATTGTCTTTATGTATTGTTGAGTTACTGTATAATTGATGTTTAACCAAAATGTTTTTTTCTTGATGTTATTACATAACTATCAAACAAAATGAATGTCTTTGTGTGTTAAACTTTTAAACAAGGATTTTTAAGGCTACCAAAATAGAATAGGAGACAAGCAAAATGTCTGTATAATAAATATACTTGTACAAAATAAACAAGTGGACATTTATCAACCAGTCTATGGAATTATGTATAAAACTAGTGGAGTTTTTCAAGCAATTTTATGTTATAACAAATAGCATGCCTAGCTGAGTGATGAAAATCTTTCATCATAGTGATGGAAAGCCTGTCTTCACAAATTGTGTGTTCTCTCACTAAATGGCCATTTCTGGCACACTTCTGAAGAAGTCAATAATTAATAAGCTACATTATCTGTTGATAATGTCACCATTTATATTTTGCCCCTTGGCTCACAAATACCTTGTCACAACTTTGACCACCCAATCATATACATTGACAGCTCAAAATGCTCAAATACCTTTCAAAGTGACCAATCACCTGTGACCATACAGATGCCACTACTGATTAGCCAATTAAAAGGATGATAACATCTTAAGTAGTCACTAATCTTTAGATTTATGAATAAATAAACATTTGAAAAACATGGTCCCTGATATGTTTTATACAATTATATTTCTGTTGATTTTTAAAGGGATTTGTTTAATATATTCAATTAAATATAAAAATATTTAAAGTACATTTATCAAAATAATGTACATTCATCCTTATATATCTACATTGATGAGTGATTATTAAACCTCTTATGGCGCCTAATAGCCTCGCAAGGCTATAAAACAGTTAGCGAATACAAAAAAAACCTGGCAGTCTGCACAGTAAACAGAATTTTCACAGCTTCCCTTTTGTAAGCTTACACTGCTTTTTATGCATTCAACCGAACAATTTTGTTTTCATTTCATTTTTTTTTATTAGAACATCTTTCTGGTATTTATAATTTACAGTCAATGGAATGAGGTTGTCAGTTTTATCCACTTGGAAGAATTTGAAATATTTGAATGCAGTTAAGATTTGTAAAAACATTTTAATATATAAAACATCAATGGTTTTATGAATAAAACACGAAACTAGTAGAAGATTTATACTTGAATGATCTTTGTGTCCCATTGGTCACATTGGGCTCTTTTCTTATAGATAACTAAGACAGTCTTCTTCCAAACTAATTTATATAGCCCTTCCACCTCCATTTCTTCCATCTTTGCACTAAGCATACTTGATTCGACTTATAATGATACCTTTTAATTTTAAGCATCAATTAACCCTTTTTATATTAGCATCATCTAAACATGTATACATATTTAAAAGCATTATGACTCAAAGAGAAAGAAATTTTTCTTCCAATTTTTTGTTGTTGAAAATTATCATATCATCTTGTCTTTCAATGCAAAAACTGGATTATCTGTCCCTTATTCAGCTCTTTGTAATGTCTTTCATGATGAAGTAAGATAACAGAGAAGAGCTATCTGTGTAATATGTGAAGTTTATTACACATCTAGTCAGATTGTCTCAGTAAACAACCACTAATTATAACAAACCATCATTGTTTCATTGTTTTATTGTAAGAAGAATCAACAAAAAATGCCATTTGTTTCAGAAATGGAGGTCAAACTGCCAAATCGTATCTCTATAACATGGAACAGCTAGTCTTTGTGTTTCCTGTTATAATTTGGACAATAATATACAACAGCTGTTTGTAATTGTAGATGGTGGCAGAACAAGTCATAACCTCATGTCTTCTGTATGGCTTTTACATTCATCAGAAATCAGAAAATCACCAGTCTGATGAATTCAGTATCCTTTGCCACTTTCATTCATAATGGCAAGGAATAATGGCAAGGAATGAAACAGAATGTAGAGTTTACACTTTTCACAGTAACAACTTCTGGTCACATTTTAACTCTGCCAATTCTGTTCCACCACCTAATGACTGGAAGGGGAGACAAGAGTTTGACTATAATGCTGACTGAGTAACAACAATTGGCTCAGTCAATTCTGTCCTTAATCTAATGACTCGAAGCGGCCAGCATGACCATGCTTTGCTGACTGAGTTAAAGCAACATTGGATAAGAACATAGCTATTGGTTTACTGAAAGAATGTAAAATTCCTAAATATCAAGTGGAGACATTGAGATCTTACAGATCCCAATACAAAATATAAATATGTGGTATCATTGCCAATAAGACAACTATCCACCAGAGACCAGACCAAATCCATTTCCTTTAACATTTTAGCTCAAAAACATGGACAAAAACCATTAACATTCCAGATAAGCAATTTGTTTTGACCATAGAACCACTGGAGTGATCTCCCTTGGCCTCTGTATACAAATCATAAATCAAACGCTGTGTCATATCCTGTACAGGTCTATAATAGATTGTAAATTATTGATAACTTATCCCAGGTTGTTAATCACCTGATTATTAACTGACCACTGGTCATGCTTCTAATGACATTTTCACCATGGGAGCTTAGCAGATGGTCAGAGCTTAGCACTTAAATAGTGATATATTGATTGTGTATTCTGTAATTGCTATAGCCAATACACAAAGCTGAGGTGTATATTTACTGCTTACAATTCAACGGTCAGATTGTTTTGACAATAAATATGGTCACTAACATAGTTCATATATCTAAAAATTTTATCAACCAAAATTTACATTTGCTCTTCCGATTTTTTTTCAACATAATAAAACTTATAGGTAACCATGTGTATTCACCACACATGACATATGCATGTGTCAGGTGCAATAAGAAGCAATAAAAGCATGTAGTGCTTTAAAGCTAAGAATGCATGTTCTGTTTTCTAGTTAAGAATGGTACTAGTATTTTTCAGGAAATACTATGTGTAGTTTTTTCAAACCAAGTATTCCTTAAAATGTGTTGCAATATAATTCACCATTGGTTCCATTGTGAATGTTTATTTGTTATTTAACCTTAGTAAACATTATAAAATTATGATTTTTTTTTCTTCCTTAACAAATATTTATCTATTCTATTTAGAGGAATACCGATCTTTTCAATTTCAAGCTATGCTTTGAAATATTGGTTCCAATAAGAACAGATGTTATGGAGGAACTTTGATCACATTAGACATTTAAACCTAATGGTATCACACCTAACCTAATACACTAGACAACATTATATCATTATAGCTCATCAGGACCCTCAGGATATTTACCACCTTTAGGGTTTACAAAAAACATGTCTGTGTTAAAAATACAAATGTCCAGTGATTAAAGGGTGATACCATTACACTGGTCATTATATAATGTTAGGTCACTGTCCACACTTACATGTGTTATATCAGGTGTGGTCAATGATGACCAATAACCAATACATCACATTTAGACTGGTCATCTTGACCACTGGACAGTTTTACCATGATAGATCGAGTATTGACCTAGAACTACTTGTACATATATGTCACAGTAACACAGCTGGTTCTATCAGTAATATGTAAAAGGATTATATATTGAGTGTTAACAAACATATTTTTCATGGTTTCCTTTTATAGCATTTAGCCATTTCTAGCTCACTCAGTGATTTTGCAGCCATTTATTTTCACAAAATTTAAACTTTGTTGAGGTATTTAAATTAAAGACGATCCAATTTTGACATATAATCAGGTATTTTTTCTTCTTGCCCAAGTCATCTTAATAAATCACTTGTGAAAGAATTTACTATTAGCAGTATTTAATGTAAAAAATCAGAAATTTTTGTTGAAATTTTAATATTCCTTTATTTCAGTGATATATATGGCTGCATAAATATAACACATTAAATATTAATTTCTTCTTAGCTAACAATAGACAATATTTAATGTGTTAAAACTATGCAGCCATTCTTCAATTTACATTTTTAAATTATGCATAAATATATATATATATATATATATAATCCAAGTTAAAAGCGTAAATGAAAATATCATCTATTTGAAACCTTACTTTTTTCGACTGAAAACAACAAAATTTTTTTATTCTTTTTTCATTTTCTGTCATTATTATTTTTGTTATTCTAACTCCCCCTATTCAATATAAACCACAATTTTGCAGACACACATTTTTAAGGTCTTGAAATGAGCTAAAAAAATCCTTTAAAAAAAGCACAATGAAACAATGAAATATTAAAAATCCAACACATCAACAGAATAAAAAATACTGATACAAAACAAATTTGACAACTAATTATTTCTTGGAGCAGTCTGGTTTATGACCAATGAGTTTTGCCAAAAGGTTGGACAGATTGCATCAAGAAACTGTAATCGCCTAATGTATTTAATATAAAATAATACTATCTATTTCGACGAGCCTTTGCTAGAGGGTTAGATATTTCCATTTGTCGTCCCTCGATGTAAATTGATGAATCGTTATTTTGAATGATGATGAATTTTTCCACTCACAATTTCAATAATGACAAGTCTTGTGAGCAAGACAGCAATTTTTCACAGTGGGTGTTCAATTGTTACATCTCAAATACTCTTAACGTGATATGCATCTTAAATTGACATTACAAAACCTAAAGCGACCATGAAGCTACATAGTAATTATTTCTGGATTAAATCCGATACTTGTCTAGAAGACTAAACGTATTTGTTCAAACTATTTCCGCTACATTTTCTCTCTCTTTTGAAATACCGGTAGTCTATACACAAAAGCGACTGTTTCTAAAATGTAACATCATATTACCACACAAAAGTCTAGA